TCTTTCTTTTCTTATTAATTTTTTCTTTTTATTAATATTATTTCTGATTCAGTTACGTTAACATGCATGAAAAAAACATAATTATGAATGAGTATTTGCCCTAATATATGCATGTCTCAATATTTTTTTTATGCATGAAACTGCAGGCTGACGTACACACACACACACACACATATATATATATATATATATATATATATATATATATATATATATATATATATATATATATATATATATAAATGGCAGGTGAAAATTTCTGGTGAAAACGAGAGGAGACAAAGATTCTGTGTGCACGTGTATTAATTTTGTAGTGATCACTGATTTAATTATATTGGTTTCTGTTGTATTATCTCTCACAATATTCTAAAGGTAGTGTTGATATAAATTCTTTAATTTTCTAACTTAATTTATTGTATATTTTGTTTCCCTCCAAATTTATGAGATTTTATTCTTTTATCTTTATTAAGCAAAAGGCTAAGTATTTTGAGCTTTAATTTATTATCAAGTATTATAACCTTCATGTATTAAGGTCTATTATTTATACTAATCAGTATGCATGTAAATACATTATATCACCAAATTATATAAAAATATTCAACATTCGATTTTATTTGTTGTTTAAAGTTTTGTCGAATGTATTAGGAAAGTTCATTCATTTAGCTTTTATTTTGAAATGGCAATCTCAGTATGAAAGCTTACCTGCATTATTGCCACTTTAGGAATAAACAGGAATTTGACTGGTCAAAAAAATTAAATAAAATTTACATATATACTTCTTTTAATTTAATACAATAATCATCCAACCCTACTGTTCTACATGAAATGGTATTCGAACTATAAAATAGAAAAAAATTTAAAGAAAAGAGTAATTATAATACCCATATAAAGTTCACCGGATCGAATGAAGCATTTAACAAACCGGATTACGACGATTCAAACATACGGGCGATAAGCCAACTCCAATTTTATTTCAACAAGTACTGAAAAAGGAATTTAAGTATTCTGCTTACCTACTAAAGATGTTTCATAATTTGTATGATTAAACTAATAAACGACACGAGTGTCCACACGGCAAGCCATACGAGATGGAGTGCCGCCTAAGTTTATCGATTTTTTCCGAATTACATAACCATCAAATCTCACTAATCATTATTAAGTTCTCCTAATTAAACATAGTTTCATTTTAGCTCTCTGTAAAGTATCCTTCATACCTTCTTTACTGCACAAGTATCTCCCTCCGAATTAAGCACCTGTACGATATAACAAAAAAATAACAGCAAAGCGCCAGCACGCCTCGTATCAAGATCCATCAACACCCTCAACCGATTCTACAAACCGGTTTTTTTTTTTTTTTTTTTTTTTTTTTAATTTATTTATTTTACAAACCGTCTAGCCCAAAGAGATTAAGTGGTTCAGAGGAAGGAGGAGGAGGAGGAGGAGGAGATTGAAGTAGTGGCTGTTCGGGTTTACCTTGGTCGGAAAGTGGAGACTCGGGTGGTGTTGGCTCGTACAGTTCTTCTTCGGTTTCACTTTCGAGTGGCTCAAGCTTTAACGGAGTTTGTATTTGATAATTTTCATCACTAGGTGGAGGCTCGAGTTGCTGGTATTTGGGTTTATTTTTCTCCAGGAGAAGGTATGTAGTGTAGTACCAGAATAGTAATATTCTGCCTTGAGCTGTCACAGTATCTCTGATTCGACTCCCTCCGAACGAAAGCCGATCGAGCACCTGAGAAGGGTAAGAACGTAAAATTCCGTAAAAGGGTATTTCGGTCCATAAAAAATATCAAAATCGGTCAAGGGAGTTCCTGCACGGTGGTCACTCACTTGTTCGCCAGACTGAACGTCGAACGAGTTCTGATGATCAAACTGAAGGCCGCTGAATTCGTTAATGCAAAGCCCTTGAAATGCCCTATAAAACAGAAACAAAATTAACCATCCTTCAGTTACTAAACTCAACTAAATGACAATAAAGAAAATCATAAATTACAAAAATACCATCTGATGAGAGAAACGCGAGGAATCCAACGAAAGATGATTGGGGTGTTCTCTGCATTGACGTAGTAGCCTCCAAATACAATGAAAACCGTCATAAGTGATGGTCCTACGGCTAAAGCTGCTTCGGTATTTGGAACTATAGCTCCAACCGTTAGGCCCATCGCTGATGCCGCAAAGGACTCCGCGGTTACTATTCCACAGAACTTTCCAAATCTAGAGAGAGAAACTTACTTAGTTTCATAATCATTTTAATTACCGGAACCAACTAAATCATTTTCAAATCAGAAGCTTGGCAGGATAAGGCGGCAATTTAACTTCTTTTTTTAGTGTCTTAAAGATGAGTTATTAATAAACTGAGTTGTACCCTATTTTTATCAATACGAAAAAATTCACCTTGATATTGTTGGATGCAGACGAGTCATGGGGTACAAAGCGGTACCGAAAAGCAACGGGAAAGCTGCTCCAACAGGAATCTCAGCTAACAATTTCGAGAGTAAATATGGCCCTAACGAATACGACCCTTTGGCTCTCTCTCTATCGACAATTGCACGCTCTTTGGGAAAGACGCCTACAGTCTTAGTGAGTGCAGCCATTGCAGTGTTTATAGCAGCAACCTGAAACCAGCCAAAAGAAAGAGTCGAGACATGTGAAACCTAAGAGGAGTCAAAGATCCTGCATCCTAAGTTTTTATGCGCATACATTTAGTTTGGTTAAACATCTATTTTCTCAAGTCACTTGCCTGAAGCAATCCCATTCTATCTTGTATCGAAGTCTGTGATCTTCCCATCCTCCAAAAGACAGAACCGAATATTACAGCTGATGCTATGGACATCCTTGCTCGAACTTTGTTTGTAGGACCATCACGAGAAGCCTTTTTGCAGTTGAGAGGTGTGGACCAAACAGGACAAGAAAAAGTCAGAAAGAATATTCCACAGATAAATTGTCACACAATTCTTGTAAGAAATAACATACCAAATTATTTAAGGAATCATAAACATGTCACTAAGTAGAAAGATTATCACGTTTACCTGCATCCATGCACGCTTAAGGAGTAACCGAAATTGCCTCCACCAACCACCTTTACTTTTGGCAACAGTTTTATTCCTCGAGTTTGTGTTGTTCTTAGAATCTAGTCCGGTCAGTGGAGTTGCATATAGAGTTGATGACATCAGCTCGGCAAATGATTCAACGAGACCATCTATTCTTTTCTGAGAAGCATTGACACTCTCGGTAGAACTATAGTCTACTGAAATGAGATCGGCCAAAAACTCTGCAGGGTTCTCATGATCGGGACAAATGTACCTGCCATTTTTACAAAATCGATATCAGCAGATAAAGACAGAGTCTAATATCTTGCATGAAGATGCAATATCAACTTTAATGGTGTAATAACATTGAAGCGAAGAGAATCAGAAAACGAACCCGAATTTTGAGAAGTAAGACAATGTTTCATCACGTGCAGGACCAGCATAAACAAGCGAACCTTCTGTGAGCAATAAGATGTCGTCAAATTTGGCATATACTGAGCCTCTGGGCTGGTGTATAGAGCAGATGACAGTGTGTCCATCCTCCGCAAGTTGCCTTAGGGTTTCCATTACTTTCTCAGCCTGGAATGCATCAAGTCCTGTATTCATAAAATCAAATAATTAACACCAGAAGAGAATGTGAGGTCGAGTAACCAGTCACTACAACAATACGAATGTGGAAATATTCTTTCATATTCGGTTGTACACGTCCCATCAGATCATTGATTTGGTGCAGCTGAGGATAATCTATTCTGCACTAATTTGTTTACATGGTTTCTGAATTTGAAGAGCGCTATCTAGTCAGTTTTTAACAAATCGATCATAAATGAATTGCACTAGATATTCTAGTGGACTTAGCATAGACTGTTGGACAAGTCCAAATACAGGGTAAGGACGAATCGTAAAAAGTATTTCTATTGGCAAAAGCAATAATCTACAAAGAATTATTGCGTCTCCAATATAATTAGCGACACAAAATGGTACTACAAATGCAGCACTGCGAGATACTCTACCGAAAAAAAAAAAGAGATCCCAGTTAAGCATTTTTATACCTAATTGAGCTAGTAATTAATTAGGGTATTTTTGTTACGATTTCTTCTAAATTCAAACATTACTGTGTGCTTTTGCATTTAATCTTTAGATTCTGCTAGGGAAACAAAAAAACCTGTTTATTACAACCACATAGCTGAACTCATACGGAAAATTAGGAACCAGAGATAACCATGCCTGTAGTAGGTTCATCGGCAAAAATGACAGATGGACTAGCTATTAGCTCGCATGCCACTGACAATCTTTTCTTTTCACCACCACTGATACCACGAACTTTTGCATCCCCAACGCGTGAATCAGCACAGCTGACCTTTTAGGAAATAGCACAACAATGCATTTAAAAAAACACACACAATAAGCTCTTATTTGCACCAAAGTTATAAATCTCCTGTAATTAGTTTTTTTAAATTTTCATATAAGGCCACATTTAGAAAAACACACACAATTGGAGATTTTAAGAAAAATAATCGGAATAAAAATGGCAAGCATTTCAACAAAATCAATTTAACGTCCGATAAGTTCTTAAATTACTTTCTCGCACGGTCAATACTAAACAAAACAAAGGCTGCTCACCAGGCCGAGTTTGAACAGGAGATCATTCACATATTCATCTCTCTCTTCGACGGAAGATATATCCTGCAGCTGGAGTTCAGCAGCAAGAGAGAGTGTTTCTCTAACTGTCAACTGTGAGAAAAAGAGATCCTCCTGCCTAACAAAGGCAAACCTGAAACGACATTTATCCCATCATTTAACTATAAAGATTCCAAGCAGTAAAAGAAAAACTCCGACTTAATGATTAAACATACTTATAAGCTTTATTTGAGAATGGCTGCCCATTAACCTCCAAAAGGCCGGACAAATGTAATCTCGGTGATGCCATTATCTGACCAGCCAAAAGATTGAGCAGGGTAGTCTTCCCAGATCCCGATGGACCCATTATTGCAAGTAATCTACCGGGTTTCGCCTCTCCGCTAACATTTTTCAGCAGAAAACGGACCTAATAAATTAAAAATGGACAATATTAGATTGAAACAATAGCTTTTCCCATCTGCCAGAAAGAGTTTTTCTCCGAAAAGGAAACAACAAAATTCCAACAGCCAAGTGACATACTAACATAAATTGCAGTCCGACGCAAAGAATTACGGTTCGCATCAAACGAACCCCTTAAGTCTACTTCTAATTTCCCCCAATCTTATGATAAATACAACTATCTCAATATGAATTTACAGTAATACTTTAGGACATAATAACAAACGAATCCTATTCGATACAATTTTCTACAATTCAAATTCAAACTCCTTGGATTGTTTATATTTAATCAACAATCAATTGAACCAAAATTATCAAAAAATAAACCCTGGCATCTCTTCAAAAATTGTGGCAGCAATTAATGTTCAAATAAGTTGTGGCAACAATCAATTGAATTTTTATTCATGCATTTCCACTTACTGATTTGGACGATTTATCGGAGAGAGAGCAATTAATGTTGGTCCATTTGATAGTGACCGGCGCAACTTTCCCTTTCACCGGAAGGCGGCCTTCGTCGTCGTCGTCGTCGGCATCCTCCGGCAAGGTCTCGGGCAGTAACTCCGGGCCCGGGGCAGAGAAGAGGCGGAGAAGAAGAGCGGCCGCCGCCGCCGCCAATAGATGCCCCATTCCTCCTCCTCCTTTCCCGCCAATTCTCAGCATCTCTCTGGTTCAGCGCGTGCTTCACTCTGTTTCTTCTCAGTAGCTACTGAGTGGTTAGATACAACCTCTGTATACATATTTGTGATCATACGACGCCGTTCCGGGGGAAATTGGTCTAATTGATCGCCACGTGTCCGTTAGAGGATAAGATTTATACTTAACATTATGTACTTAAGATTTATACCTTTAATCATCACTTAATTGTGTTTATACTTAAAAATTATGCGATTAAGCTCATAATTAAGTTTAAATTATCGGGCTGGGCCTAAATTGTAATGGGCCTTCTTTTAACTTATCTACTCCGAAAACTGCAAAAACTACCCCTGTGTAATCCAGAAATAGCAAAAACCCCCCTGTGATAAATAAACTAGCAAAAACCTCCCTTGTGAAATTATTTAAATAGCAAAAACCCCCCTATGGAACTATTTGAGGGTTGACTTGATATAAAAAGACACAAATACCCCTGGAGTCTTGCAATTAATAAATTCTTATATTTTATAAATATTTTAATTATTTTATTTAAAAAATAATCAATTTAGTTGTTTACTATTTTTTTTTAATTTCTAAACAAATAAATTAAAAAGAATAAATATACATATAATATGTATATATACAAATACATTTTGAGGGACAATTTTGTCATTTCAAGTGTAAAAAATCAGTTAGGGGGGATTCTGCCTTTGACTAAATTTCACAGGGGGATTTTTGCTAGTTTATTTATCACAGGGGGGTTTTTGCTATTTCGAGATAACACAGGGGTAGTATTTGCAGTTTACTCTTTATAATTCAATATGGATATTTGGGCAATTCACGATATTTCAAAAAAAAAAAAAAAACAGCTGACCTATTTTCCAACAATACTTATTTATGATATATATATTTAAATAATTTTTATATAATTAAGATTCAGAATTCCAAACAGAGAATATATGGAATATAAAATTGTGAGCTATTGGGTCTGCCAACATTTAATATTTTATTATTAGGATAATGTAATTAATAAATACTATTGGGGACAAAAATCCCATGGTCATCAATCCATCAACCTAAATTTAATTGTTTAAGATACGATGTAGGCAATTGTCATTACTCAAGTCAAGGTTCAAATACTTAAATAGCTCAATAATTCTACTTAGTTTCATTTTAATTATTTGGGTAAATTACGGCAACCGTCGAAGTATGTAATTATCGATAATTGCAAATACCCCTCAATTATTGACTCATCTAACTTTTAAACTCTTACAAAACTATCACTAATTCAATGGTGAAGATTTCATGAAATATTCGTTATGAATTTTCAGATCTACCCTTAAAGGACAAATGTAATATACCACAAGGATAAATATAATATTTTTTTTTGCTGAGAGATACCCGTAATTTACATATAGTTTATTGTTTGTTTAATAAATAGGTAATTAGACAATTCAGTCATTCCATTTGGATTTAAAATGGAATGTTAGTTTTAAGGGGTATTTATAAATCATTCATTTTAATCTAAAATTCCTTTTACATATATTGTTATTTAATTGTAAAACTTCCCATAGTATATTTCATTTTACTAAAAATATTACACGTGACAAAAAGTCAATTTATCACAACATGACATGATGCATAACAAATTATAGTAAAAATTACTATAATTGAAAAGTAAACCGACACAACTTTAGTTGGTGAAATTAACCATTAATGATGTCTTAGTTGCAATCGATTAAATAAAACACGACATCTAATCCCGATGCGTATTAGACAAAACTTGTCTAATACATTTTGCATGTATTATGTATTTTGTGACCGAATAACGAAATTTATCTCGTGCAAATATTAAAAATTTCAAGTTACTTTGCAAAAAATAAAATAAAAATATATTTTTAGAATAAACAAATGCTTTTTTTTTTTTTTGATAAATTAGAATAAACAAAATGTTATTAACTATAAAATTTGCAAGGAAATATAACTAACCGAAAAGCAGAAATTCTATAAATTTAATAAGTTCATTTACAGCAACGAAAACAAACACTATAAAAAGAAAAAAAAAAAGAAAAAAAAAACAAGCACCACTTTCTTTCTTCAGCGCGTAGAACACACTTCCACCGCCGACAGTGCAACAAAGAAATAAAACATCTCACATGATTCTCACACCTCGCTCAAGCGCGTGAGCGATAAACACAAGAGAAACAGTTTTTTCACACAAGTTTAGTACTTACTTAAGATCTATGATCAAACATTAATCATCAATTTTTTCAAAAAAACAAATACTAAGAAAGAAAAACACACACACACACACACACACACACAGACACACACACACACAGAGAAACACACATTTTCATTCAACGCACAATCACTGTTCTCTTCTTCCCAACAGCTCTCTCCTTCCCACCTAAATCTAACTTCTCTCACATCAAACCCTAATTCCAGCAAAATTTTGCCTGAACTGCAATCCCCAAAAATTACCAAATTAAAATCGAAACCCACGAAATAGGAAACCTAGTAATCACCCGGGCTTGATCCATCTCGTTCAATTTCGTAAACATTCATGAAAATCTGCGGAATCCCATTTACGAATCACCGGAATCTCGACTAATTTTTTTATCAATTTTTTCGGTTCATGCAAATCTGAATGGGACCCGAAAAGAAATGGATCTTCACCCTGTTCTCCGGCGCGTTCATCACATTCCTCATATTCCTATCGTTCATTTCGGGTTTCAGTTCGTCGAATTACAGCGCGTTCCCACCGCACAAGCCGGCGGTTCATCACGGGCCGGGCCATCCGCCGGCGTTCGCCTACTACATCTCCGGCGGCAGGGGTGACGTGGAGCGGCTGTTCCGCCTCTTGCTGGCGGTGTACCACCCGAGGAACAGGTATTTGCTGCACATTACGGCTGAGGGGAGCGATGAGGAGAGGCTGAGGCTCGGAGCTTTGGTGAAGTCCATGCCTGCGGTTCGGGCTTTCGGGAATGTGGATGTGATTGGAAAGCCCGATCCGAATACCTACATGGGGTCCACGAATATTGCGGCTATTTTGAGGGCGGCTGCTGTTTTGTTGAAGGTGGATGGTGGCTGGGATTGGTTTATTACTCTCAGCGCGTTGGATTATCCGTTGATTACGCAGGATGGTAAGCTGTGCTTTTCGTTTCGTTTCGTTTTTATTATTGTAGTGATTGTGGATTGGGGCGTCTTATTTTGTCCGTTCAAATTGTTTGTCCGTCTTTGTTAGTAATAATTGAGTGTTCGTTAAAAGGGATTAATTTTCGGATGGAAAGATTTAGTCTTTTTTGGTGGAGTGCGCGGAAAATTCGAATCTTTGCAGATGATTGTTACATGAGAAGTGATTTGGAGTTTTGCATTTAAGTTAATCTAATTGATTCGATGTTTGCTATTATAGTGACGATGTAAGCCAATTTCGAGGAAGTGTTTGAATTGTTTGTCTAATTTATTGAGTTACTCAAGGAGCAATAGCAATTACTATCGTGGAAAATGTGATAAATATGACGAATTTTTATTTATTACGCATGGATGTGTCGGATTAAGTTGATTGCACTCATGTGACGAAACGGAAGACTCCCGTTTTCTTCATATCTATTCGGACAATTTGCTGATTTGTCTTTTTGTAAGAAAATTGCGCTTGCACCAGGTTGTGAATTTCTACGCCTTCATAAAATTTTCTTGTTTTAAATGAACTAACCACGACTATTAAAAATTCTGGATCGGTCATTTTGTTATGTTGAGCACATAAGTGCACAACTTGTCTTAAAGATCTAATTTTTGGGATATGTTATTTGTATATTTATAGATGTTCGAAATCTGTTTCTGTATTTGAAGTACTTGAATCGGACCTCTTTTCTTTTCTTGGCTAGGAAAAGAGAGATAAAGAAATTGAACTATTCTTGGTTGAATGTTCTAAGTTTCGTTATTTGCATAGTTTAAGCACATAATAAATATTGGTAGCGGTGTGATTCACTTTGAATATTCAATTTATATACATATATTGAATATTTATATGTTAATTAGATGAAGCTGTTACGTGTTAGCATCCGGTCCACTTTGATTATTATAATTGAATATACTACTTATTAGGATGGATTGTAGGTGACTTTGTTACTTCAAAAATTATATGAAATGCTAACAAACAAGGCCTAAATATTTGTTCTTTGTGAATCCGTTCATTTGTTTGAAATTATATTTCCTCATGTAAGACCCGCGTGCGTTTCCACCCAACAAATCGTACTTTAAAAATCGAACCTTTTTAGCGACTTGTCTACATTTAATGATGTTGTCTGCACAACCATAACAAACACACACACACTTGGTATTTCGTGTTATCTATTCTATTAATAATGCAATTCTTGAATTGCGTAACTACATACCGTGCTGATTTTTTTATTTTTGTTTGTAATCAGATTTGTCCCATGTGTTCTCATCAATTAGCAGAGACTTGAACTTCATCGATCACACAAGTGATCTGGGATGGAAAGAGTAGGCAAATAATCCTTACTCCTTGCATCTTAAAAGTCAACATTTTGCATTGACTTCTCCGATGCTTCCTCTACTTATCATCTCTCACAATTTTTTTTATTACAGGGGTCAAAGAATCCAACCCATTGTAGTGGACCCCGGTATTTACTTAGCCAGGAGAACCCAAATCTTTCACGCCACCGAAAAACGTCAAATGCCCGACGCTTTCACGGTTTTCACAGGCAAGTCTTTTATTCAACATTTTGTAATAGGGAGGTCATAACTTCCCGAAACTTTCTAATTTTATTTGCTAATAAATATCTAGGTTCACCATGGGTTGTCCTAAGCCGATCCTTCCTCGAATTTTGCATATTCGGGTGGGATAATCTCCCGCGGACACTCTTAATGTACTCCACCAACGTAGCTCTCCCCCAAGAAGTCTACTTCCACTCTGTCATCTGCAATTCGCCCGAATTCAAGAACACAACGGTCAATGCCGACCTGAGGTACTTCGTGTGGGACGACCCGCCCAAAATGGAGCCCCATATCCTAAGAGAATCGGATTACGAGGATATGGTCAATAGCGGGTCGGCCTTCGCCCGTCAGTTCGAAAAGGAGGGGTCCGTTTTGGACATGATAGATAAAAGAGTCCTCTTGAGGGGGCGTAACAGAGCGACACCTGGCGCGTGGTGTAAAGGGAGGAGGAGTTGGTTGATGGACCCGTGCTCACTGTGGGGTGATGTTAACGTTGTGAAAGCGGGCCCACAGGCGAAGAAATTTGGTGGGTCCATCGATAAGATTCTTGATGATCGGAACTCGCAGCCAAATACATGCATGTGATAAAAATATATTCTTTGGTTTTTTCTTTTTTTTTTGGGCCATGGTGTTATTCTTTTGGGGGGGAATCTTCTTATTGCGAAAGCTCGTTTTTTATGTTGGAAGATATGGAAAAACCGAAAGTCTTGATTTTTGGGGCGTTTTGGGATAGTATTTATTGTACAGAAAACCAGCCAAATGGTCTTCCAATGATGCGAGGAGTTATACCCCTTCCTTCGTATGTTATTTACGATCCCTACCCTCGCCGATTTGTTTTTTTCTTGCATCACGAGTTTTTTTTTCTTCTTTCCTTCGAGTTTTTGTAGTTTATTTTGCGAAAGAGCGCAGTTAGAACCCTTTGGAATATCCTATGTAAATTAGGGCAATGTAGTAAGAAAATGTTGTTGTAATATTTGATCAACTTGATATAAATGGATTATTTGATTTCGGTTCGTGCAAAATATGACTGCGTTTTCGTTCGATTTATTTATTTAAATTGTGCTTCGTTTTCTATCCAGTGGTTGCGGTGCCGGTATATGTGAAGATTGATGTAAAAATGATTGTGCATCGTCTGCTTAGTAAGCTGTTTGGTTGCTAATATTCGTGTTTAGTTAAGTCCTTAGTTAAGTCCCTGCTACACTTAAAGCCTGGAATTAGATGCTACTATTTTGTTAAACTTATTAACACCGCTTCCCGTGCGATTAATTTTGTTGCTTAAAAGAGTTTTTAGATATTTCATATTTAATACCAGAATTTAACAAATTTATTATTTAATACAAGATTTAATCTAGGGAATCCAACATCTTAGCAACTAAATAATTAATTAGTACGTAGAATATTAATTCAATCTCACTTAATGCAATGTAATCCGATATAGGAAAACAAACGGGGCCTTACTGAATTGTGAAATATGAAAATTTTGAACAATCTTTCTAATTAGGGCAAATTCTTGAATTGAACAAAAGGCCCTACTATAAAACCCTCCGATCTATTTTTCATTCTTCCCTCAAGTTTCAATTATTCAAATCTCTTCCAAAAAAAAAAAAAAAAAAAAATCTACACATCTTCTGTATATCAGCAAAATTCCAATGGGGTTTCGCTCAAATCCTTTATTCATAAAACATTTCCTGCAAAAATCCGCTAAAAGATCAAATCTTTCCACTGTTCCTTCGAGCGCACCAGCTGTTTGTGAAAATGCCCAAGTCGGACATGAAACTGAAATAATCTGCCAACTGGTAACCAAGGTCGGAAATGCAAGAGATCTCGACTCCGCTTTGAATTCCGCCAATTTAAGCGACCAATTACCCCCACATTCGATTTTCCAAGTTTTGAAGAAGCTCAACAATTCCGGAATCATGGCGCTCTCGTTTTTTCGGTGGGCTGAAAACAGGACGAGTTCTCGACGACACACCACCGAGTGCTACAATGTCCTGATCGAATCACTGGGCAAAATCAAACAGTTCAAAATGGTCTGGTTATTAGTTGACGAGATGAAATCAAAGGGCCTCCTCTGTAAAGACACTTTTGCCCTCGTTTCGCGGCGCCTCGCGAGGGCGAAGAGGGTCAAAGAGGCCATCGAAGCATTCGAGCGGATGGAGAAAAAGTACGCCTTGAAACCCGAGCTGCAAGATTACAACAGGTTGCTCGATACCCTGAGCAAATCCAGACACGTGGAGAATGCACAAGAGGTGTTCGACAAATGGAAAAACACAAGATTCACACCCGACATCAAGTCCTACACAATACTATTGGAAGGGTGGGGTCAAGAGTGTAATTTCCTCAGGCTCGACGAGGTTTACCGCGAGATGAAGGAGGACGGATTCAGTCCAGATATCGTGAGCTACGGTATTTTAATCAACGCATATTGCAAATCAAGAAAGTACGAAGAAGCAATCGAATTGTACCACGAAATGGAAAGAAAAAACATGAAGGTGACACCTCACATATACTGCACTCTAATCAACGGATTAGGTTCCGAGAAGAAATTAAACGAAGCCATCAAGTTTTTCGAGTTATGCAAAGGTAGTAGCGATTGCGTAATCGAAGCTCCAACTTATAACGCTATGGTGGGCGCTTATTGCTGGAGTGAGAGGATGAACGAAGCTTACGGCGTGGTTGAAGAGATGAGGAAATGTGGGGCCGGCCCCAATACGAGGACATACGATATTATCCTGCACCATCTTGTAAAGCATAAAAAAACGAAGGAAGCGTATATCGTGTTTCGGAAAATGAACGGCGAACCGGGTTGCGAGCCGAGTGTGAGTACTTACGAGATAATCGTTAGAATGTTCTGCAAAGAAGGGCGAACGGATATGGCTTTGGGTGTATGGGAAGAGATGAAGGGTAACGGTGTACTTCCTGGTATGCATATGTTTTCGGCTTTGATTAACGGCCTTTGTAACGATAATAAGCTGGATTGTGCGTGTAAGTATCTTCAAGAAATGCTCGATATGGGTATGCGGCCACCCGATCGATTGTTTAAGCATCTGAAAAAGATTCTTCTCGGTGAGGGGAGAGAAGATATTGTCATTATATTGGCTCATAGAATTGAGAAACTAAGGAATATTCCCTTAATTGGTTGAGAAAGATTTCTATATACTAATACACTATTTTTGTAATCTCTGATATATTTCTTTTGCTCTGTTTCTTCTGTTTGGTTTCTTTAATCTTTCAACATTTGTTACTAATCTGAGAATAAAAACAATAAAAATTAAAAAACATCGTATGCTCGATTTTCGTCATTATACCAGTGTAAAGAACCGATTCCAATTACACGAAAACGAGGGGAAAAAAAACTTTCCACAATCCGATTTCAAGAACCGTAAATTCCCAAGTACGTTTTTCTGGCCAAGAAAACGACTAAACATCTTCCTGAAAAGAAAACCGAACCTTAAAATTCGGGCGGAACCAGTTCGTCGAATTTATCGCCAGGAGAAACATCAACAAATTCCAATTCCTCCTCTTCGCTCTCCGGCAAAGCAATCGCCCTTCGTATGCCATGAACAACCAGCCACTCACTAACGAACATGTCCGGGAAAGTAATTTCAACTCCATTCACCATCAATACTTCATCATCTTCATCCTTAGTAATCTCCAAACCGAACCCCATCGCATTATTGGAAATCACAGTGCCGTTAGCAGTTTCATCGAGATCCCTCCACCCGGCTTTACACGGGACGAGATGCCTCATGAACAGTGAGTAGTACCTCGGGAAATCCCCAGAAAACGGCACCAGTTCTTCATCTACAGGTGCGAATACAGTCCACTGCATGAAATTCTCCGAAAATCCGAGAAGCTGCAAATCGAGAAACGAGGCCATAATCGAGTAGCCTCTGGACTTCAACACACCAGACGCCACTTGGAAACGAGAGATGGTTTCCAAATTCAGGCATTGGAGATCGGATTTAGGGTTTGTGGTGGTGGCGCCGGTCGAATTAGTGGATGTGAGGGTGAAATTCAGGTTGAAGAAGCCGTCGATTGCGTAGACAATGAGAAATCCGTCGTCGAAAATGGGGAAATCGGAGATTTTGACGTTGTTTATGGATAGGGTTTCGGGATGGGCGGAGGTGACGGTGAGGCGTTTGGAGTGGGAGAGAGATGGGAGGGTTGAAGCGAAGGGGAGAGAGAGGAGAGATACAGGGGGGAGAGAGAGGGGGGAGAAATGGAGGAGGAGGTGAGCGAGCGACGGCTGGCCGTAGGTGTAGAAGGCGGCGTCCGGCGGAGAGAATATGGTGAGGGTGGTGATGGTGGCGGAGGGGCGGGGGAGGGGGAGGGTTGGGGCGATGGCGTGGAGGATGAGCGACATTGCGATGTATCCTGAATCGGCGAGAGTGTCCTCCGCGTTGGTGATGGATTGCGGCGGCGGTGGTTGTACGGCGGCGGCGGCGGAGGAGAGGAGGAGTAGAATTAGAGGAGGGAGCAGTTTCAGAGACGCCATTAGCTCTGTACTGCTACTGCTACTGTGTGAGGTGTGTGTGTGTGAGAGAGATAACTGTTTTCTCACGTTTTCTATACACAGTAGATTTGGCGGGATAATTGAGGCGGAGACACGTGGCGTCATGCTATTGGCTGGCTGTGAACAGATTTTTGTTAGATTATTCCCTTTTTCTTTTTGCTCATCAATTTATATATAATTATATATAATTTTTATTAAATGAATCTAATTAGATATTAGCCCCTTTTTTTTTTACTTGAGCAAATATAATTTTGTTTTGAATAAATATAAAATATTTATACATAATTACTCTTTTGAATATTTACAAATTTCATTGATGGGCACAAATTCGGGCTCCATTGGTCTGAGCCTGAACAACACCGTTTAATAAATTAGCATCAAGCCCATTATCGGGCCGAAGCCTATAATAAAATTGTCGCCTATAAATTAAAATAAAATAAAATAGTCATCGACGTAAAGTAAAATCTCTAAAAATTAATACAGTTGGGACCAGATAAACTCTATTAATTTAGCGAATCGAGTTAATAGTTTAACATGTTTTCACTGAATCGAGACCTTGAGAAACTATTATTTAATAGATGTTATTAATTTATCGAGGTTCTAATGTATTCTTTAATCCAAATCTAGCCGTCCAATGGAGTAGACTTCCGGCTTGCGGCTTGCCCCATAAATAAATCATGATGAAATTGGGTAAATATGCAAGAGAGGTCAAACGTTGTTAATTTATTTGATAATTATTTAATTAACATTATTCATTAATTAATATATTTTCAAAAATAATTCAAAGTGGCTTGAACAATAATAGCTACTACATTCGTCTCTAGAGTGCATAGGTATAAATAATTACAAATTGGAAATGTTATATTACAATTCTATATAAAAATTAAGAATTTAAAGCCTCGTATTATACATTTATTTTTCATAAAATTAAGGTTCTTTATTTAATTATATTCTTTAATAAGTGGACTGCAATTGATTTACCTTTTTATCTAGAAACTTACAACTACAACCAATTGGGGGTCTGACTTTAAATACATGGACCACTTTGTTGATTCCGTAAAATGAGACTATTCTTTGAGTAATTACATCTAGACCCCTATAAAAGGGTGTTAATATAAAGAAATAGAGAAATTACAGAAGTGGATGTAAATATTAAAAAATGAGGGGTTCTTTTTCTTTGCAAATAGACCTTACATTAAGGAACATTTGTAATTTACCTTTTATTTTATAAGTTGGGATTTGACTTTGTGACCTTATCATACATAACATGTCAAATACTAATAATGAAATAAAAGAAAGAATCAACCAATAATTGGTCTTGAGATATATAATAATAATAAAATGATTTGTAACAGCAAAGGCTATCTTAGCAACCAATGTATGCCCACTACTCATATTATTCTTATTCCAAATTCCAACTGTATTTTTTTTATTCTTATTAAAATTATTATTAATTTTTTTCAATCCTAAATTTCTATACCTTTTTTTATTACTAATGTAATGGTTCTTATGTTTGTCTTATGCAATTAAGTTGAAATCACATCTTTCTTTCTTCTGTGTATTTCAGCATAGAATCATTCTTTATTTTGTTGTTTTCAGTAGTTCAAGTTAATATAGTGGTATTTTTTTATTTTTTTTTTAGAATAAATAAACTACTTATCTACATTTTTTATGGAAAAAGTTTCTAAGAATGAAATCAAATTTCAGAATTTTATTATAGGATAATTGCGGCCAATCCCCTGATATAAGGTCAAATTACAAAAATAATTAATCCGCTCAACTATGAAAAATCTTCTTACACGTCCACCCTTATGTTGTCAAATTCAACACAATTTTTTAGATTCTATGGAATATTATGTAGTTTGTACTCGTTTTGTGTGAAAATGCAGTTTCTAATATACCACAATCTGATATTTACAAGCGAAGAAATACATCTTATAATCATTTTGTTTCAAAATATGGAGCTCGAATGGAGTAAAAACGAGTACACACTGAAAAATATTCCATATAATCTAGAAAATTCCACTAAATTTGACACTGCAACGACGGACGTGCATAAAGATTCACAGTTGAGAAGGGAAGTTGTAATTACCCAAAAATGAGGGGTATTTTCGTAATCTGACCTTACATAAGGGGATTGGTCGTAATTTATACTTTATTATATTATATATAGTATAAAAAAAAATAACACAATTATTAATAATAAATTAATATATTTCCAACTGTACTATACAACCTCAAAACTTGATAAGCCCACATTTCGTTGTCCCCCATTACTGGAATCGCACACACACAAACCCCCCGCCCCACTCCTCCCTCCTCTCTCTCTCTCCCACCCTCACAAAATGGCCGCCGGAGAGACCACGGCGGCGGAAGACGGAGCGACGGCAGCCCCCCTCCGATTAATCCGAGACGTCGCCCGGATTTCCACCGCCGGCTTCTCCGGGGTTTTCAAGAAAGACTGTGCTGACCTGGCACGCCGGGTTTCTCTCTTGGCCCATTTGCTCGAAGAAATTAGGGATTCCAAGAAAATTCAAGAAAATGGCGAAGTGGTGGTGGGCCCCACTTCTTCTTCTTCTTCTTCCTACCTTTCTTACATTTCAGATGTAACCGTGGCCCTCCAGGCTGCGAAGAGACTCGTCTCCGCCGCTAACAACTTCGACGATTCCAAGGTTTCTTCTGTAAGTATATATATATATATATATTTGCTATATGTTTACATCTGTGGGTTGAATTTCCATAATGTGATTTTGTTGACTTTTAAAGATTGTTGAGTTGACTATTTGGATTAAGGTGTTTCATTTGTTTCTGCATCTGATCTAGAATCATTTTAGATACTGTGTGAAATTGTTTTTTTGGTTTAAATCACATCTGCTGTATATAATTAATTTTCTGATTTTTGTGAGTAGAGATCCAAATAAAAAAAAATTCTGTTTGTTCGAAAAATTGATTCGAGATTGCCTCCGCCCGTTGATGTACGTTTATGTTCTGCATTATGTTAATAAAATGTTATGCATTTCAAGAACATTACATAGATGTATCGGAAAAAAAAAAACTATATTATCGACATTAAAAATGTGCACCAAATGATTGAGTAGAAGTTATGGTTATTGCTCGTCTTAGTGTCGAAGATTGTTCGGGTTCGTAAAGACGATTAACAAAGATTATTTATCAGATGGATTATGCCATATAATTTTCATCACCATCTTACTAATCCAATTTCTGATCTAAAAACAAATGAATTTTGTTCGACTCTCATAAATTCTGTCTTTATCTTATTCAAGAACGGAGCGACAAAGAAATTCTTCTTTCAATTCCAATGTGTGACGTGGAAATTGGAGAAAGCATTGACTAATTTACCTTACGACGATTTTGACATATCAGAAGAAGTGCAAGAACAAGTAAGTTATTATTTTTTTTTATCAAGATTCCTTTTTCGAGCATCTTTATATTCTTATCTGCGACAATAATAACACAATCCCGTTGGTCAACCCAGGTTGACTTAATCCGAGCGCAGCTGAGACGAGCCACCGAAAGATACGGCGGGCCCTTGAACTCAACCTTATTGTGCAGGGCATTATCTCAGCCGTTGGATAAAGAAATCAATCCGTTTCATCCAAGCAACAGATCGTTGATTGATTGTTTACATGTCGAGAATATAGGGATTATCGACCATCAAGCCGGATTAAAATCGAGTCCTTCACAAGGCAATGGCTCGGTACACCATGCTGTAGATGATGTCGACAAGAAAGAAAGCTCGTCAAATGACATTTCTGCCCCTAAGGATTCTTCGGATGGTGCGGACATCGAAAAATTGGACGAGAACAAGAAACTAGATTCGCCTATAATCCCCGACGATTTTCTCTGTCCTATATCGCTCGAACTTATGAGGGATCCGGTGATTGTCGCCACGGGGCAGGTAATAATTTAATATGTGGTTTATTGCATTCGACACCCCTGTGTTTACTCTAATTGCTAAAATAGTCCTTGTGTTATTAATATTAGCAAATACACTAACTGTAGTTTCTTACTTTCTTCTAATTCGATCTTCGTCTTTTTTTCCAGACGTACGAGAGGTCTTACATACAGAGATGGATCGACTGCGGCAACACAACATGCCCGAAAACTCAACAAAAACTCCGCCACGTCACCCTCACTCCGAACTACGTCTTACGAAGCCTAATCTCACAGTGGTGCACCAAGCACAACATGGAGCAGCCCACACTACTAACCAACGGCCGCATAAAAACAAGCGACGGTTCGTTCCGCCACGTCAGCGCCGACATCATCTCATCCGTCGGAACCCTCGTCCGCAGCCTCTCGAGCAGATCCTTAGACGAACAAAGGGCGGCGGTTTCCGAGATCCGATCCCTCTCCAAACGGAGCACCGAGAATCGAATCTTGCTGGCCGAATTAGGCGCTATCCCGATTCTGGTCAACATGCTGACTTCCGTTGACTGTCTGATCCAAGACAATGCTGTTACTTCGATCCTTAACCTCTCCATTTACGACAACAACAAAGGGCTGATAATGTTGGCGAACGCAATCCCGTCGATTGTACAAGTCTTGAGATCGGGAAGCAATGAGGCTAAAGAAAATTCCGCAGCTACCCTTTTCAGCTTGTCGCTCGCGGACGAGAATAAAATAATAATCGGAGCATCGGGGGCAATTCCGGAATTAGTGGATTTATTGAAGAACGGGAGCTCGAGAGGCAAGAAAGACGCTGCGACGGCTTTGTTCAACTTGTGTATATATCACGGGAATAAAGGGAGGGCCGTTAGGGCTGGGATTATTACTGCTTTATTGAAGATGCTAACGGAATCTAGTAGTGTAATGGTTGACGAAGCTCTGACGATTCTTTCGGTACTTTCTACTCACCAAGAGGCTAAAGCAGCGATCGTGAAGGCCAGCACGATTCCCGTTTTGGTGGATCTTGTAAGAACGGGGTTACCTAGGAATAAGGAAAATGCGTGCGCGATTCTGCTTTCGTTGTGCAAGAGAGATAAGGAGAATCTTGCGTGTTTGAGTAGGCTTGGTGGTGTTATACCTTTGACCGAGCTTGCTAAAAACGGGACCGAGAGAGCAAAGAGGAAGGCGAGTTCTTTGTTGGAGAATCTTCGTAAGTTGCAACAGCTTTAACGGGAATTTTTTTTTTACTACGGAATTCGATTTAATTTATTTTTGATTATTTGTTTCTGACGGTGGAAGTGACACGAGTTTTAGGGTGTGGGGAAGACGACAGTTTGGAGGGTGAGGGAAGCTAAATATATATATTTTTTCTCACTCTTGGTTTCGATTTGTATTTATTATTTATTTATTTTACTTCATTCTTGGATTGGATGTACCATTTGTTTGATCTGTTTACTTTGTAATTTTTACGACTAAACATGCTGATTGCTTCTTTTGTTGATATTACTCTGTTGGAACAAAGGTGTTCTGAAGATTTGATGTAATAAAAATGTGTTTCTGTTTATTTGTAATTTTAGGGAAAGCATTTTTATACAAATATGGGTATCTTGATTCTTAAAATACATTAGGGTTTGTAGATGCTACACTTGGCGAAATATGCCCGGTAATTATAGACCATTGATTTATTAACACACACTCATGTGTATGTGTGCTTATTGGGTGTCCACAATTACTTTCGCAAGAACGAACTATATTTTCGCATCGTCTCTTTTTTCCTGCAAGATAATTGAAAGAAGCGAGTAAACAAGCGCTGAAGATTCTTTATTGTGGTTCGTTTGAACTTTTTGAATGTGACGTGCGATTTGGTTGGAGATAACGAAAGATCTATTTGTTTGTGTTATATATATATACACATATCTTTTTTCCCATTCAATTATTGTTTTCTAACCTGAATTTCTTCGGTCTCGCTTTCGAATTTGGTTCGATTAAGAGAAGGAAGTATCAGTGCTCCCTCAATTTTCATATCTAGGAACAATATTAGGGTTTGTTACTCTGTGTGTGTACTCGTTCGAAGGGGTATGAGACTTCTCTCATTGTGAGAAATGCTCGAGGCATACTAGAATGTTTTTTATTGTCACTTTTGTTTGTTGCGTAAATATAAATATGCACGGCGTATAACGAAAAATATGAAAAATCGCTAAAATATCATTGTCATTAATTGTTTCTCAATTAATTAACTATATTCCAATAAATTAAGAATGATACATAATTAGGAGCATCCCTAAGGTAATGACAACTCAATATTGACTCAAGTTATGTTAATTGATATATAAATAAATATATATATATGCAACAAAAAGTTTGAGAATAGACAGATACGACGAACCTTAATAGCAGTCGAATGCGTAGGGACAGAAGAGTAATTTTACTCTGAATCTGTCATTTCATCTTCATCTTCTTCTAGGATATACACCAAAGCTCGTTTTCTTGCAGCAAAAACACATGCCACACCTCTTGATGCTGAAAAATAGGAATTTTTAAACTAAAATGTTAGCTTATCAAAAAAAACATCATCTCGTTCTACTTGCATCGGATATATGTCCATTTAGAAATTGTATTTATTTTTTATTTTCTGAACTTGTCTATGCACAATAGAGGGTAATATCCGTCATTCCATTTACGATGTAAGAACATTGTTGTAGACTTATAGTAGATACAGTATGGATCAAAATCGAGCAAATTGCCAGATAATGTTGCTGGCCAACTATAAATCATGGGACTCAACCATGCTATCAAATGAAAAATTAGCTTTGATTACTAATATATATATATATATATATATATATATATATATATATATATATATATATATATATATATATATATATATATATATATATATATATATATATATATATATATATATATATATTAGTAAATGGATGCAAAATCAGCCGATTATTTAAATTTGTGGAACTTACCGCTAACTGCCAATGGAGCAACCACAGAGTGAGAAATTTGTCGAACCTTTTCATTCTCCAAGTGCAGGAACGTAATGTGATCCTAAAACAAGGTACGTACACTGACATGTTTAGATCCATTCTACGACTACACGCTGAAAATTTTTATTTTTTATTTTTTATTTTTTTCCATGTGGGGTGTGTACAGAAGAAAAATGTATATACCTGAAGTTCATGAAAATTCCAAGAGTTGAGAATAGATGATCTTGAAATAGACACAAACGAAACATCGGCCGCTCGTAAAATCATCATACAAGCATTACCCGAGCTCTCAGAAGCTGCAGTTACTTCATTTAATAGCAAGACAATTTGTTCTTCCTGATTTTAGACAACATTTGAGGATTTGAGCATCCAAAAAAGCAAGAAAAAATACAATTGGCAAATATTATTATACTTACTTTATACAGAGAAAGATCCACACAATGATAACCAACAGGAATGCGTAACAGCGCCACCTCTAGTGAATTTTGACCATTTTTCAAGTTGTCCAAATCATATACCAAACCCCTTGCTATGCCAATGCAATTTGTAATGTTGGGGAAAGTCTCGTCAGGTATCATAAAAGAAGTATAATCAGTTAGCCTCTCGTCGGTGATTTCGTGATTTATTGCCGAATGAGAAGTGTCCTGGTAAATACGATAAGAAAATTAAAATGAATGGTAAAGATTTTTTTAACTTTTTTTTTTTTGGTTTTTTGAACTACACATGGTTATGCAAGAAGTGATTTCGATTCATAATAACGAGAAATTTAAGCCCAAGTGCAGTCCTGATTTAGGCATTCCTCATTAGACTTTCATATTTGTAGTTATGTGCAGCTAGTAAAGATCTCTTACCAGTATATGATGTGGCAATTATAATTGTTAGAAATATTTCCCCTATTTTTTCTTATTTTGTGTAAAATATTTACTCCAATCCCATGTGGTTTAATAACCTGGAGCTTCTCAGAGTTCATTTGTTCAGCATAATAACAATTGGTCTTGGTTTTCAATTTCATCGTTTGAGGTTTAAGGTCTCGATCAAAATACATGATTTTTTTACTAACAGATACTTTAAGCTTATCTTATTTGGACTTGTGCCTAATATTCTGTGAAGAGTATATCCATTTGAGTAGTGTACAGGTTACAATAGTTTTTTTAATTTTGAAGATGAATGAGGCTCTGAAACAACATACATAGCCAGAAGTATATTGCACCCACTTTTATTTTCTATTTAAGATTTAAATAACCACAAACACAAACGTGTCATAGACCATTAGAATTTAAAACTTGTATTCACATTTATTGAGAGGAATAGCAATACCTGATAGTATGACACTGATACTGGAAAATAAGAGGAGTTCAAATTTGGTGAAGATCGAACTGGGAAAAGTGGCAATATGTCTTTACTAAGTATCTTTCTGGAAACAGTGACTAGTGGCATCTCCAAAGCCTCCTTGAAACTGAAATTACAAATCATTAGATCCGTCAATCGACAACTTATAAATCGAGGAATGAAATACACAACGAACCAGCGGGCAATTTTGAATGGACTATGAGTTTCCCCGCCTTTGTCGATAGATTATGTTGATTATAAGTTAGGTGTTTCTTGTTATTATTGTCACTTAATAACCGGAGATTATATTACAATGTCTCATCTACTAGCGTAAAGGGAAAGAAAGCATACCAAGAGTCCAGTTGTTGAAATTCTTTTGCCAGTGTTCTTGTCAAGTATTCAGAATCTGAGAAACCTCCAAAATGGGCCAATTCTCCAACTCGTTGCTTTGTTTCCCTTGTAGTAAAAAATAAGCAAACATGAAAAACAAAATCAAGTACTGACAAAGCTACACCTCTACATGCACAAGGGAAGTTTCCATGATCCAGACATTATCTCAAAGCCAGCTCTAATAGTATTAATCAAACTTCAAGGAATAAAGGGTTTTTTTGATGCAAAACAAACTGACGAAAAGTATTTCACTCATCATCTAAGCTACCACTGTTAATATATTCATTTCTGATGATAGTCGTGTATCACAAGAGTCCGGGGTCATTTTGTCAATAGTTGCCTCTCTAAAGTTGCACGTTTTGGTAAACTTGCTCACTTCTCTTAGTTATTCATCTTCTGAGTTCATTACTGCTCCATATAAAGAGATCCAACAGTGAACTAAAATTTGCATCAACCTCGAGCAAAGTAAATTTCAAAAGTAGAAGCCCTTTCCACTAAAAGGCGAACTCCATAACATAAACCCATTACTCACTACCATCATCTATATTAGAAGATCACTAATCAAATTAACTTTTTAGTAGATGAAGTACAGTAACCAAAGTTGAGGTTATAGAAGAATTGAGGATAGTTGCTAGAGATTTAGGCAATGTTTGGAACCATTTCTATTTTGTTTTCATTGTTTCCCCAAAACAAAATGGGATTTATTACACTTTTCAAATCATTTTCTCAAAACAATTTCAAAAGTTTCTCTCTCCTCCAGACATGATGTGACTGCTACAGTAAAATGATTTGACTGCTACAGTAAAAAATGTTTTCACTAAAAAACAAATAAACATCACTTCATCTTTCAATTTTTTTCTTCAAAAATACTATTTTCTAACATCTTTAAACATGATTTGACTGCTACAGTGTATTTTGTCTCCTTCCAAAATACAAACAAACATTACTTTCATTCTCAAATTATTCCCCCAAAACATATTTCCTCAAAATGAAATCAAAATAAGATCCAAAACGCTTCCAAACATTGCCTTATGAAATCTTTCACTAGTAATGGATGCTAACAGGAAGTTTCACTTAATGTTCAGAGTTATTGCATTAACATAATTTTAAAGTGTAAATTAAAACTATTTGACATGGCCAACAGCCGAGAAACAGGAACACCCTTAATCTCAAAGCTTCCGTCAGTGTTAATTGGTTAAAAGACTTACAAGTCAACTTCAATGTAGTGATCCAACTCAGTATCTTGCAGTAATGTACCGACCGGATCTTGGTTGTACAGAAACTTCAGGAATACGATAACAAGTTCACTGCCAACAAAGAAAGGATCACCCGAGTTTGAGAAAGTCCAAAAATTTTCAAGAACTAACAAAGCATAGCTAACTGGCGAACCTACTGAAGGGCAGAAGTTGGTCGCTTGGTTCAGACATTAGAACCTTGACGCATTTCAGAAGCCAGTTGAAAAAATTTGAAAACTGAACAGGAGACAAGTATTAGAACTGCAATGGCCAAGAAGTGGTAAGGAGTAATCAAGTTGTTTGTGTAGCAATCACTGACAACATTGTAACACTTAAATGCCTAAATGCTGCTGGTAAAGATCATTGTAATTTATTCTCATACAACTAATATTCACGCGAAAACTGTCATTTCATTAGAAAACTGACTTGTGATAGCAGGATATATTACCTAATGTAAAGTGGTCATAGTTTCTCTTTATCAGCATGCAAAATTAAGATTCTATTTTAGTTGAATCACAAACTTTCACGAGCACTGTTGATATCAAGAGAAACACTAAAATTAGTGATTTATGTTAACCCGTTGTCTTTTGAATCAAGACAATATACCCGTAGTTATCAACAAGAGCTCTGTGCTAGTGCATGTGTGTATCTATGTCCTGCATTCGTGCATATTAGGTGTATAGATGAAGGATGAAAACCTATTTCTTCAAATTATACAACTAACGTTGGTATGCAATGTCTTATACTACCAAGGGATAGCACATACCTGCTGCACCACTGAAGATAGAATCCTATTAAATCTTTCAATTTGTACAAGCAACATTCCAGCCTTTTCTGTAGCATTATCGATTAACTTCTCATCCAATCCAATACACAGATAACGTGCACGCCATTTTGAAAGTCCTCTTAGTTCTCCAATTCTGAATGCAATGATTTCTGCAGCAGGCTGAGAATCAGAACTTCAGAAATCAAATTTGAACAGAGACCTTACTAAAAGATTGGTCCAAAGTATGAAAGTGTCATAGGATGTTACAAAAGTAATTATCAATTATTGCAATATACCCCCACATCAAGTAGATGTTAATGTTAAACCCCTAAATATTGGTTAAGCTCATAGCATATAGTGGACCTAAAACAATCTGTTTGTTGAATAAAACTAATTTGCTATCATGAAAAAGGTCTTCTCAATCACTTTGTAAAATGTTGCTTGTTAGCGTTACACGCACCTGTAGATGATCAAGCATAATTGTCTGAAGCTCCTTTCCAGCCCCACAAACAGCCTTAGCAACCCGTTTGAGCCCCTAAGGACCAAAAAATCAAGTGCAATGTTAATATAAGTCATAATCTTCAATTCATTATTGACCAATTCACTGGGTTGAACATACCGCTTCTCCAAGAGAAGTAACCAAAAATTGATGAACTGGAGGACTTGTCCTTGCACCACCCAACAAGCTTAGAAACTCTTCTTGAGGACTGGAGTCAAGTCCTGCAGTTTTTTTTTCACTCGAGGATTTAAACAGATAACAAACAGAAAAAAAAAATACAACTGATTTGTTTTTATCTTCTGAAAGTTACCATGGTCCATAATCAGGGTGGATAGAGCATTGAATTTTTCATGGTAGACATGCATAGCATCTGACCACTGCTTAGACATGACACCTAGCGACCTTCTGATGACTTCAATCAGATGCTCCACATTGGAAGCTTGCTGAGCCACCTGTTGAAGCTCGTTTTTCCTAATATTGACAGGGAACCAACAATCAAACACTACTATGCGGCGACTCTCATTATAAAATAATTATATCATCAGCACAATATGGTGAATTTAAAAAAATGTATAGGTTTCAAATCTGTAATTCTTTAGAACATTTGAACAAATTTTATAAGAGAGATTTTAAGACAGAAGAAGACAAGGATTTGCAACATATTAGTGTGCAACAACATATAGGTAGAAGAAAGAGATAACACGCGTTCATACAATCTCTTTCAAATATTATTTTACCACACTTTCAAATATTATTTTACCTTTTCCGGAAAATTGTACTGTCTAGGACTAAGCAATGGAGACCTTGTAAATTACTTCCAGACATTTGATTGACGCTTGCTCTGGATCCAGTTTCAGTAAGTACACCAGAGCATAGGACGATGGTATGACAAATATCACTTGACAAAGCCACCTGGAAAAATATGGAAAATATCACATGAAATCCAGACTGTCGGAACAAACAGTGACGTGCCATGCTTTTCAACAAGTTCATAGATGATTTTCCAGTTGTCAAGGCTAGTAATATAAATTAATTGAGTATTCATAAAATCAGCTGTGACTGTGAAAACCAGTTGGATACATAATTTACTTAGGATTGGATAAATATTATATCCATGTAACTATCCATGAATCATTTCATCAGACCTCTTTTTTATGTTTATATGATGTTATGCAAGTACGTTCACATAGTTTTGGGTTCTTAATATGCTTATATGCAAATTGTCATTACACTTCAAATATTTGTTTCTCTTGGGATCATATTTATGTATAGTAATCTGACCTGTCTGCGTATATAACGGAAACCAACTCAGATAGCATTACTACTTATGTGGATCATGATTGACCTGACCACATATACGAAAAAGGGGATTCAAAAAGAGATTGACACATGTGTTATAAGATTGGCCTAGATTGAACAATAAAACTTTGAGGGTAGTTGATAAAGACCTACTGCATTTGTAAAATGACTGCCTCTAACCTACACAGCCACATAAGCAGATACTGTACATGTTGAGGGCATCATCCAACAGTGAACCAAGTTAAACAAGGACCAGGCACAACCATGGCATTATTAAATTTGTTTACTGACGTGTTGATAGTCATATTGCTGAACTAGTTTACACTTTGTTTATGTAACTAGTGAAAACATGAAACATTACAACTGGATAGTTGTAGCCACTATTTAGACACAAACATGAATGCTTAAGACAGATATCAAAATGAACAGAACCATCCACAAAGAATATGAATTTACCTTACAAATAGAAGCATCCATGAGTCGGCACGACACAGGGTTTCCCGCAATAGAGCTGCCAAGAGCAAGATTGTGTATGTTCTGGAACATCGGTTTCAATATTAAAAAAAATATGGATAAAGTTGTAATCACATTTATATCTAAAGAAATTATCTTACAACTTTTCCTATGGGGAATATGCCAAATATATTAAAGCAAATATTTCCATCTTTATCCCCACTGCATAAAATGTCGAACTGTTGCTGTGAAGAATCAAATAGTTCCCGAAACGAATCATCGCTTTCTTCCATGAAACCGCTACTATCTCCAGGAACAAGTCCAGGTGTTCGAGGAACTCTTGGAGCAGGTGGGAAAAAACGAGCAGTCCGATCTTCATACGTCAGATTGCCATTGTTTCCACCCTAAACACAATGTAAGCAAAAAATTGTATACTTGATAAAGATAAAGGTTATGAAGATTCTAAGTGCACCTCATATATAGTACAAATACATACAAGTCTTCCTTTACATGACATTTAACACCCAAATCAAGTGAAAAATAGTGGTTCCTGAGAATCTCAACGAGGAAGAAATTAAGGAGCCATACCATTATCTTTTTTCTGTCCTCCTCCCAGTTGAGACATACTACAGAAGCACTATGGAACTTCATATTTCTCAACAGCTTCCCATTCTGAACCATAGATACACCAAAAGGGTTGACATGAACTTCAAGTGAGTCGAAATTAACAGCTAGCATACCAATAGTATGGATCAAGCGAAAAACACTTTCTGAAATAGCACGCTCGGACGTATTAAAAACAACTTACTTCCACGTCATGCAGCGAAATACTCCCATCTTCAAGGCCCACAGCAATTGCTTTACCATCCGGGCGCCAACATATCGATGTTATGCATTTTCCTAAATAAAATGCCCAAAATTAATTTCGAAAATGTACAAGGTGAGAAACATGGATTTGTTCTCATCAAAAAAAAAAAAATTTAAATAATCAATGTTACCCAATCGGCCGTAATCAGTAACATGAATATAAAAAATTTAGCATGAATTACGGCAGATTCAAACTACTACAAAGATGATCATGAATTAGCGCTACAAACTTCATTTCTTAACCCAAATTCCAGCAAAGAGAAAATGCTGCTTACCAGGGGAGGTGGTCCAAAGCTTCTGCCAATTGAATCGATGGAGAAGAAGCTTCGAGTCCTCCGTAGCCATGGCGAGTAAATCCTTTTCCGGATTCCATTCAGCAATTTTTATCTGCACAGTTCAAAAAAAAAAATTACGCCGTAAACTCTCATACAGCAACATTGTTTCAATTATTGAGAGAGGGAGAGGAAAATTACCTGTGATGCAATTGGTTTGTCGAATTGGAGCTGAAATGGAACCACCCTTTGAGATTCTTCGTCTTCCATTAAAATGAGAAATCAGGGTTTAGAGGCTTTACTCTCCAATAGGTAGGGTTTTGGGTTGGGGGTGGGGTGGGGGGGATGAAGTCCTCTGGTTTCTCCTCTTTGCTAGACGCGCCTATTACTTGCATGAATTTCACTTTCCAAATTTTTTTTCTTTTTGTATTATTTCCTCTGGACTTTGGTAAATTACAAAACCCCCCTGAACTTAGCTAAATTATGAAAATTACCCAGATATATCTTTGTAAATTGTAATTATCAAAATCTCTTTGTCTGTTTCCATGTACCCCTTAAATACCGATTCTACCCTCAAGACGTGGTATTTCTTTGTGATACTTTCTAAAAACAAAAAATTACCCTCATGCAGATTTTACATGGAATGTTTATTCTTCTTATAACAAATTCACGACTTTTAGTATTATCATTATCCCTCAATGGGTAACATTATCCTGCTCACATAAAATTTTAATCATACAGTTAAACATCTATAAAATAAACAATCAGAACTAACAAAATTCTATTAATTTAGTGAAACATTAAATTATTGAACTAATAATTTAGTAGGTTTTTACCGAGTTGGGACCTAAAAAAACCATATTATATAAACGAGGTTATTAATTTATTAAGTATCAATTTATCGAGGTTATATACTATTTACATAGTATCAACCGCCACGTCATCTTTTGTGTTGCCAACATGGAGCAGCTGTTTCCGCTCTAATGATAATTAAATTAATATTCCAACTAATTATTATTAGTCAGTAACCCACATGCAAGATGAATTAATTGGAATCTCTTTACGCATTATTGGGTTCACACGCAATTAATTAGTGCAGGTCACTTTCATTGAACAAGCAATTAATGCCTATTTTTTGACTAATTAATCAAAGTTTTAGTACATAATTATTTTGTCCATGCGACTTGGTGTAATAATTTCTGTCGAGGTGTCACTATATTTTTTTTTTCTTCCTGAAATTACTCTTGCATGGGATTTTAAAACTTTATTCTATTATCACTTACGTATGATGGTTTTACCGTTGATCATGTAATTTGAACTGTTTTTGTCCTTATTCTCCCATTTGAATTTTTCTTATGGGACTAAACATATATATAGTAGGTTTGAATTGAACACCTCAATTTACTTTTTTCCTAATTAAATTTTCGGTATTCGAGTTTTGTTTGATTGAGTTTAATTTGAAATAAACTACATTTCATTTGACCATCAACAAGATAGATAAGAGTGTCAATATAAAGACTTTTTTCCAAGTCCAACCGCCTTGGGTCAGGCCCGTTCCTGAGAATTCGGGGGCACTATGCGAGGTTTAAAGAACAATTAAAAGTAGGGGCCCCTATTTGATAAACCAATTTTTTTTTTATTAATGGGGTGTTTGAAATTGAATGTATTAACAAAAATATAAATAATATTTTTCTAAAAATTATGAAATAAAAGATTACGGGGGATCGGGGGTGGTGCCCCCGAAATATTTTTTGAAATGTATGAATATAAAGTAGCTAAAAATGTGGAAAAAAATTCAAAATTAACAATATGATTTCCTGGTTCACTTCCTCCTGTGACGTATAATCTTTATAGCAAATAGACTTCATAAATATTTATAAACTTGAATACACTAATGAATATTGATTCTTATTTTAGAATAAAAATAAGTAATTAAGACATTATAAAATTAATATTTAGGGGCCCCAAAGTTAAGAAAATTGCAAAAATTTCCATTGATCATTTAGCTTAAATTTATTTTAGAATTGATGTTCCAAAATATATATTATATATAATAAATTTTAAAAAATAAGTACTAATATATAAAGTGTAAATAAAATAATTTGGGGGCCCCAAATTTTCGTAAAAATTCGGGGGCCCTAGGCGACCGCCTACTTCGCCTCCCCTCAGAACCGGCCCTGCCTTGGGTGTTGGAAAATCCATCTAGCACATATCTCTCGCCGAAAAATGTAGGGTGAAAAAAAGAGAAGTTGAAAGAGAGTATATACAATCTACATTGATGTTAAAATCGTACCCTAATAGGATTTGATACATTCGTTGATATAGATAATTTCTAATTAGATATTTCCTAATTTAGATTCTCTTTATTCATCTGATTACGTTGAATTCTGATTGCGCAATTACTTGTCATAATTTACGTGTTTTCCTTATTTATTTGGGGAGAATATCTTCGAATGTTCTTCTACCCACCACCATACATCGTCTCTTGCATGTTCACATGAGTTGGCGAGCGCATTACCCTTATATCCCAGAGCATCGTTTTAGCTAGTTTGTTACTAACGTGCTTTCTTTGAACGAGCTTCTAAAAATGCATTATATTTGACACGTATTGTATAGGTGGATCTCTTATGGCCCATATATATAGTTTGTCTTATACGATTTAATAAGTTCAATATGAGAACTATGGCAAAACTTTACTAAACTGACCCCATCATACGTACATACGTACATACTTAAAATAATTTTTTCGTGTTAAAAAGACCCCGTAATTACTAGGCCACTTGCTATAATAATTCCATAAACACAAAAAATAGTAGATTCTACCTTTCAAGGCAAAATTTGTTTTTCCAAAATGACAAATGAATTCAAACAAATTACTTGTTACTATACAAGTGTAGGCTTAGCAGAACTCATCCATAATTACTATTGCGTCCCGCAAAAAAATAATATTTACATGATTTTAGTTCTTTTAATTTAAATTCTTTTTTAAAAAAAAAAGTTCTTTTATTTTAAATATTAAAATTAAATTTGGTGGTGAAAGCGTCTCAAACTTCTAGTACTCGTCAAAGAGGAGGGGGCGGGCGCCCAAATTTTCGAAACTCGTTATTTGTTTGACTCGGAAATTACTAAAACACCCACCACCTATAAAAACTCGCCATCTGTCCATCTCTCCCCCAATTTTCATTTTCAACTGGCAAAAAAAATGGGCAACAGTTTAGGGGGGAAAAGAAGAGCGAAGGTAATGAAAATCAATGGCGAAACGTTCAAATTGAAGACTCCGGTTCAGGCCCGGTCGGTGTTGGAAAGCCACCCGGGTCACGTGCTGTTGGAGTCGGAGTCGGTGAGGCATCACGGCGCCCGAGCCAAGCCGTTGGAGCCGCACCACGAGCTGAAGCCCAAGCGTCTCTATTTTCTCGTCCAGCTGCCGAAGTTTCCGGAAGATAAGAGCGTGCGGAGGGTGAGGTCGGGGATTCACATGAGCGCCAAGGACCGGCTCGACAGCTTGATGCTGGCGCGGAGATCGGCTTCGGATCTGTCCACCGTTAAGCCGGTGAGGTTTGAGATCGAGGAGGAGAGAAAAGGAATTTTAGAAACCCGCGGTGGCGGCGGACGAGGAGTGAGGGTTACGATGAGGTTGCCGAAGTCGGAGGTGGAGAGGTTGATGGCTGAGAGTAAGGACGGGGCTGAGGCGGCGGAGAAAATTGTCAGCCTCTGCATGGCGGCCGGCGGCGGCGCTGCGGCGGAGATGAACGCGGAGGAGTGCAAGCGAGGCCCTAAATTGCGTGAGGTTTGTCGTTTTATTTAATTTTTTTTTTTTTAATATCTGATCACACATTGACATTTGCTCCACTTTTTCATGGCGTGTTTACACAGGGCTTTCACATTTGATTTGCAATTACAATTAATTAATTAATTGTAATTGTAATTTTTTAAAGCATAAATTCAAAAATAGAAAAAAAATCAGTTATGGTTGCATAAGCATTGGGTTCGTTGATTTGTTCTATCCTGCATCTAGTATACTTCATCGGATAGAATTCAACCTAATTACGCGTCCAAAATAAGTGCATTTTACACACGCCTACACGTTTATGCGTCCGATTATGTGCAGATCTACTACGTTACGTTACCTCGTGAAGTTCCATTTGAAAATTAGAGGGACAGTTAAAAAGTAGTTAGCAATTCATTAATATTGCATATCAATTTGATATAAACTGGCATTGGATTTCTTAATTATGCGCTACGCTCACGCTCGATGAACATGGCCTAGTGTGAACTTAATCATTGAAAACTATCCAACATGTTATTTGCAATTTTAAACGAAAAAAAATAAAAAATCGCGCAGACTTATCCCCTAGCTAGAACATGCTTAGATCACATATCCAACTGTAGCACATGCTCATTTTGTTGCAATTAGTGTTGACATCTAATTGCATCATTAAGTATTGACCCGGTCGTTATCTCGCATTAGGTATTGACAATAATTACAAAATAAAAATAAAAAAATATTCTAGTTGCATATATGTGTATTAATGGAGTCGACGACCGATCAGTGGTTGAAAGTAGATGGTTTCAAAGATCTGTTATTAGTGCATAAATCTTCTTATATATATAAATAAGTAGGTCTACCTATACATTAATCTATAACTAATATTACTTTTTCAACCGCGGTTAATTCAACTTTACGAAAGCAATATTAGTTTTTGCAGGAAAAAAAAACGTGTTTTAAAATTCCATGAATCTCAGAAAGTTAGGCATCTTTCCTTACTTGGCAGCCATTATTTGTTAATTTGAAATGTTTAGTGGATAATCGAAGGATGCGTTACGACCAAAAAGACGACATTAACTAAGGATAAAGGTTATTGTGCTATGATAATTGATAATGATATAACAACTATGGCCACCATGCGTATAAAGTACAAAGACATTTACTAAAGTATCAGAAGGTTCGATTTTTTTTAATTTATATCTTTGGCTCATTTTTCTTACAGAAGCGCGTTGGGTTTTTGCCGATAAACGAAGGAGACATCCATCTCGCTGTGGCCTCTTAGCACCGGATAAGAAGTCACAGTACCAAAAGCATACTACACGTGATGATTATTAAATGATATAAATATATATATGTTTATTTTCCGTATTTTTCTATCCGAATTCCCTAGAAGAATTCTCAGCAACGTAACAGAATGTTTCTGTGATCTATTTGTATATGGAAAACTGAATGTTAGGATGCTGAGAATGAGCTGATCTTTTATTAGCTTCTTCTTCTATAGGTCGACTAGGTGAATTACGAGAGAGAGGGTAGTAGTTTATATTAGCTTCGATTTTGAAGTGAATTCATTCCATTCACTTTTCGATTATTATTTTAGCTTCATATTCGACTTTTTTATGCATGAATAACATAAATTATTTTGCGCAATCACAGTTATACGATGCGATATTCGAATTGGAGTTTTGATATTTTTTTATCAAGTTTTACCATTTGTAAGGCCATTTTCTTTTTCGTTTTTTTCGTTCAACAGCGATTGGTTCTCCAACGACCTCGTTTCGGACATAATTATTAGACCTTTTTTCGTTGAATTAGTTAACCAGAAATTACCTGCACAACATGTAAATAATTAGTTGAAAAATTAAGTCAATTACCTAATAAGTACCCCACTGAATGTCATTCTCAAGTAAAGTCTATCCCTTTAAAAATAAAAAATAAAAAAATTAGAGACTTGATTTTGTCTGGGACAAGTCTTATAATGTCTGAGTAGTGACCATTCTTGAATCCGAAGGCCTTTTTCTCTTGTCATAAAAATAAAATAAAATTAATAATAATAAAAAAAAATTGCAAATTCCATATCCACATTCAAAATTAATCTCCAATTACCACAAAAAAAAAAATGTAAACAAACAATCGAAGATCAATGTAACTTTAAAATTACGACGAAGACCACTGATTCGGCACTGTAAGAAAATAGGTAGTCATCGCTTTCCTAAATCTCTTCTTGTACTGTTTAGGAGAAACAATAGTAGGTGAAGCATTTTTCGGACCACCTAAAATACCCGACGCCTTAACCCACGTCTCCAAATGCTTGTCCCAAGTATATTGTCTCATATAATCTATAATCCCGATTACCATTTCTTCCCTCTCTTCATCCACTCCAACCAATAACGAATAATCCATCACATCCACCCCCTGCAAAAAAAAAAGAAAAAAAACGAGTAATTATTATTTTCTTCGAAAAATAT